GGGGGGGAGGATTGAGCGCTGAGCGCTGGGGGACCCAGGATCAGGTAAGTAAAACTACTTTATTTGAGCCCCCTAGACAAAGCCACCGATTAACCCTTGCAGTGCCGCGGTAGCCCCAACGCAAGGGTTAGGTTTCCATATGCCTTCTTTAAGAGCTGGTTTTGGTCTAGGGCAGTGGTAGGCAACCTTGGCTCTCCAGCTGTGCTGAAACTACAAATCCCATCATGCTTCTGCCTCTGGGAGTCATGCCTGTGGCTTGCAATGCCTTATGGGATTTGTAGTTTCAGCTAGAGCTGCAAAAATTAATCGACTAAGTCGATTATAATCGATGATGGAAAACGTTGTCAACGTTTTCCATCATCGATTAGTTGAATTTCGATTAGTTAGCCTGCTTGTGGCTCCCCGCATGCTACTTCTCCTCCCAGCACGTCACGACTCCTCCGCGCCTAACGGACTCGACGCTTCTCCTTCCCGCCTCACGGACTTGTCGCTGCCCGCCTATCCATGATCCATTAAGAAGGAAGAGCAGGCATGGGGGGAAGGCAGCTGCCAGACAGGCCCACAATCTGCTCAGGTAAGCCTGCACCCCTCCTCCCCCCTCCACGGTGCTCTATGATGTATTGCTGGGATAGTGGGATTTGTAGCCCTCTATAGCTGATGGTACATTGTGCTGTACAATATATAGCACGATGTACCACCATCTATAGAGGAATACAAATCCCGCTGTATATAATTCCAAAGGCTTGGTGTCCCCCTCCCAGATCATTAAGATATCATCAATATACCTTTTCCATAAGACAATATTAGTCGGTTTGTTTTTAAAAATAAATTCGTCCTCCCATTTGCTCATGTAGAGATTAGCCAGACTTGGGGCAAATTTAGCCCCCATTGCAACTCCTTTGGTTTGTAGGTAATAGATCTCATTATGCCAGAAGTAATTTTTGCTCATAGCAAAATTTGTACATTCTGAAATAAATTCCATTTGCTCTGGTTTAATATTACCAAACTTCTCGAATGCCCACTGTATAGCCTCCAGTCCTTTTTTGTGTGGTATTGTCGTGTACAGTGAATTGACATCAATAGTCACCAAAGTCATATTTTCATTTGCTTCTAGATCCTCCAATAAATTTAGTACATCCCTGCTATCTTTCAAAAAGGCTTCTGTTTGGGTCACTAAGGGTTGAAGGAAGTGATCAATATATTCTCCCACTCTCGAACATAGGGAGTCAATTCCACTTACAATTGGTCTCCCTGGGGGGTTCTCTATGTTTTTGTGGATCTTCGGTAAAAAGTATAAAACTGGTGTTCGACATATAGAGGGTAATAGGTAATCTTTTTCCTTCTTGATTAAAATATTCTTCTTATGTCCTATATTTATTATTTTCTCAAGTTCCTTCTTATATGTATCAAGTGGGTTTTTTTTAAGTTTTAAGTATGCATCTTTAGTATTAAGGATATTAGTCATCTCTTTTTCGTAATAGATTTTATCCATGACAACAACCCCACCCCCTTGTCTGCGGGTCTAATGACAATATCCTTCCTGGTTTCCAGGGCTGTAATGCCTTTGTTAATAAACATTTTATCCCTAGCCTGTTTATATTGTAGGCATTTAACATCCTCTTCTACCAGATTTTTAAAAACATCTATAAAATGATTGGAGTTATTTTTTGGGTTAAAAGTGGATTGGTTCTTTAAAAAAGTATGGATGTATGTTTTGGGTTGTGATATCCCTGGGGTGGGTAAAAAATTCGATTGGGTAGAATAATATTTTTTTATGTTTAGCTTCCTTATAAACTTTTGTATGTCAATATAGGTTTGGAATTTATTGATATTAGCCACCGGAGCAAATTTTAACCCCAACTGGAGGACATCCTCCTCTTCAGTAGTTAGGTTAACCGAGCTAATATTAAAAATTCCCTTATCTAAAATCCTCTGTTGCCTCTGTTTATGCACCTTCTTCCCTCCTCTACATCCTCTCCTCGTCCTCTTACATTATACAGCGCACGGCAGAATACCACCAGCTATAGAGGACTACAAATCCCAGCAATAATACATTATACAGCGCACGGCAGAATACCACCAGCTATAGAGGACTACAAATCCCAGCAATAGTACATTATAGTATAATGTACTATTGTTGCAATTTGTTGTATTCCTCTACTGCTGGTATTCTGCATTGCACCGCTGTATAATGTACTATATTGCACACCACACTTTTTTTTTCTTCCACCGCTACAATGTGATGGACTACAATCTCAATACAAACATACAAACTAGTAGTCCTTCACTGGATGACAAAAAAAACACACAATGGTTAGAGCGCACTCCTGTAGGACAAACACAGGTAGGAAATGGATCTGCTAGGGGAAGGTGTGCAAAAACTCCTCAATACAGGGGGAGGGACCCTGTGTATCACAATTCAAGACAAACAAAAAACACTTTTTTTGAGGAGCGCAACTACCTATAATTAGAGTGATGGACCCAATGTGCTAAGCTAGGGAAGATGCATAACAGTTTAAAATACGGACACCCAAAACTGGTTTGTCATATGGAAAGAGACAAATAATGACTTACAGTTGGGATGTGAGCCTATGTGCCCTGGTGTCTCTCACAGGATATTCTCCAGGGTCTGTCTGATGCGATGTCCACATCTGGCAGGTGGGAAGCGAGTGGGTGTCTGACCGGGCCGGAGAACGAGGTGTCAGCCGATGTCACAAACTCAGCTGGCCAGGCTGAGCCGCGGCGGCTGAGACGGGAAAGCAGTGAGCCGCGATCGGCTCCGTGACCCCGGACTCTATGCGTGTTGTTACAGTTTTAGATGTGACTGTCAGCGGAGTGCACAGAGATGGGCCAGTGCGTGGGACAGTGAGGGATCTGTTCGGTGGGGATAGATCTTGGTGCCTGCAGGATACGGCTACGCGTTTCGAGGAGGTTTCCTCTTTGTCAAGCCACAGAAAGGTACCAGATGTGGACATCGCATCAGACAGACCCTGGAGAATATCCTGTGAGAGACACCAGGGCACATAGGCTCACATCCCAACTGTAATTCATTATTTGTCTCTTTCCATATGACAAACCAGTTTTGGGTGTCCGTATTTTAAACTGTTATGCATCTTCCCTAGCTTAGCACATTGGGTCCATCACTCTAATTATAGGTAGTTGCGCTCCTCAAAAAAAAAGTGTTTTTGTTAGTCCATCACTGGAGCCATTTAAAAAAAAAAAAAAAAATCAAATTAAGTTAGTTAGCCTGCTGATTAATCGAACGTAATAATCGGCTAACTAATCGATTTTGAAAATAATGGTCGGCTGCAGCCCTAGTTTCAGTACAGCTGGAGAGCCGAGGTTTCCTACCCCTGGTCTAGGGGCTGGAATAAAACAGAATGACTTACCTGATCCCGGGTCCTTCTGGTCCCGTCCCCACAGCCTCTTCTCCCCCTGGCTCCGGCAGCCTAAGGGCCACTGACATCATCACATCCTATGCGGGCCCATCGACTTGCATTAGATGTGAGGACGCCGAGGGACATTCCACAGCCGGAGCAGGGAGGTGAGCGCTGACCGCTGCGGGAAGGAGGATCAGGTGAGTAAATCTGCTTTACTTGAGCCCCCCTAGACAAAACGAGCACTTAACCCTTGCAGTGTGGTGGTGGTGGCCCCACTGCTAGGGTAGTTTTTTATTTTTATTTCCCCCGAGACTTATTGTTCATTTTTCATATTGTTCATCACCAAGATGGCCGCGCATGCGCGATGACGTCACGGTGGGCTGTCACTCGGGACGCGCTCCGGGTGACATCCGGCCTCGGAACACCCCTGATCCAGATCAAACACATATACATCACACAGCAAAGGATTTTTTCTTTTTTTTACATATTTGCCCAAGTCATCATGTTTCTGAGCGGCTCCAACTCTCTCAGCTCGCCTTCCCTGAACTTCCTGTCCAGTACAAGATCACTAGGGACAGAGCAGTCTCTAGCAGCCGTCCATCTACTAGCTTGGAGGAGGGATGAGTGGGGAGCAGGGAGGTGCCTTGCCTTGCTGTGTGTTTGTGGAGACACACACAGCTTACTAGCACACACAAGGGTGACCCCATAGGACCCTACAATGGGAAGGAGCCACCCTAATACAAGATATCAGGACCAGTGCTCAGGGGACCAGCTGAGTCTCCAGGAAACTAAAACATTTAAACATCAAAGAGCAGCATCCATTGTAAATCCATCAGAATTTGAAATGGCTTAAAAAAAAAGTTTGACTTTAACATGACTTGAAGTCTAGTTGTAGCAAGTCACACAGAAGAGCGAGGCGCCGCACCATGAGCGAAGCATGACTCCACAGAAGGCGCTTTTTTTGTGCAATTTACAATACTTGGGTGTGAACGGGGGCCAACATGCAGATCAGGTCCCCTCCCTCGCTAGAGTTTGTTGTGCTGTGGGGCAGAGCTGTGTAAATCTCAGGACTGGATGGACAGAACTATAAATCCTTTGGCAGGTAGAACGGCTCCCGTATGTGTATTTGGTGCAAACAAACCCTTAAGCTATGCAATGGTTTATGCCCAAGCGCCTGCAATGGCTTGTTTTACGCACATGTTGGCAGCCCATTCATGATAATGGGCTACCCAACGAATGACATTCGCACCAAAGCGTATGCACATTTTAAAAAAAGCGCACTGCCCCAAAAATTGACCATGCGTTTTGGTACACGCCATTAAGAATAAATGGTAAAGAATGTGTCATCAGGGGGCTTAAACCTGAAACTCATATAAATGCTGTCTGTAAATGCAGACCCTGTAACTGCCTGCAATGCCCCATAGGTCAGGGAGCTGTCCCATCCCCCTCACAGCAGCTCCTAACCACAAGGATGACCGCTGCACCGACCACCTCTGGGATAGGCACTTAAGCAGCCGCTCGGCACTCTGCTAGCACTGTCTGCACCAGGCTACTGCGCAGGCGCGCTACGGCTTTCTTCCACTTTCTAGAGGCAGAACGATTGCTCGGCGATCTGTCCTTCCTGGTTCCTGGCGGCATGGCGGCGGTGCTGGAAGCCGGTTCTCTGGGTCAGTTCGAGGAGCTTCTTCAGAAGAGCGACAAGTAGGTGTGACTGTGTGTGCTGGAGGAGCACCGGACGAGGAGGGGTCAGATAATGGGAGGGTTGTCCTTGGAGGGTGCCTGTCTGCAGTGCAGAGGGGTCATGGTGGAGCACAGAGGCCTGTCATGTATCCTGACACTGTGACTGGCCGCTTTGCTGGGAGTTATAGTGCCACAAATACATAACTGGTCACTGAAGATGAGGAGCTCTGTGTGCGATTAGCTCATAGATAGGACGATCCAAAGCTGACAACATGCAATGTAATTGTACAACCTCCCTAACAATGACCATACACTATGCAATGTGATTGCACATCCAGAGGGTCACCATACATGTTATAATCTCACCATACAATCAACTTTAGATATGTCAAAAGGATGTAACATGAGCAACTACCAAATCTATCCAATCAGGCAGGCCCTTGCACCACTTACCTTTTGGGGGTGAACGCTCCTTCCCCTCCACGGGTGAACTTTTGGTTGCAAATGTCGAGCTCTCATTGGAAGCTCTTCTGGTCATTCTGACCAATGAGAAGCACTTCTTGCTAAGAAGCTTTTTCTTATTGGTCAAGCGTGGTCAGGTGACTGAGTGCTCACGCTTTGCAAGCAAATTCAAAATACAGAGCGGACACTCTGCCAGTACAAAGCAGTGACAGGTGACCGGAGCCCTCCGCCACCATTCACATGTATCGGCACGTCCAGAGGTCACCTGTGGCGGGGGACAGTTGGTTGGTCCTGGACACAGACAGACTGCATCCGGGGACAGTCATCGGTCTCTGGATGTGCAGATACATGCGAATGGTGGCGGACAGCTACAGCTCCGGTCACCTGTCATTGGTTTGTACTGCCTGGGCATCCACCACTGATATGTCCATGTGTGTGGGGCCCAACAGGGTTCAACTTGGAGCCCATCACCCCCCCTCCCCCCTCTTCACTACTGAACAGTTCCAACAATAACCTGTTCAGACTTCTAACCTTTTCCCGTGTTACTATGACGAGGTGTGTTTTTTCATCTGTGTCCACCAAGGAGGACATTCCTTCACTTCCTGGTCCTGTGACACCCTGTCCAGCTTTCCAGATCATGATCCAACTTGGAGCCCATCACCCACCCAATTCACTAAAACAATACCAATAATGACCTGATCAGTCCTCTAACCTTTTCCTGTATTACCATGACAAGGTGTTGTTTTACTCTGTGTCTACCATGGAGGACATTCCCTCACTTCCTGGGCCTGTGACACCCTTCCCAGCTTTCCAGATCAGGATCCAACTTGGAGCCCATCCCCCTCCCCCCCACTTCACTACTAAAATACCAATAACAGGTTTCCTGTATTACTATGAGAAGGTGTGTTGTTGTCATCTGTGTCCACCAAGGAGGACATTCCTTCACTTCCTGTCCCTGTGACACCCTGCCCGCTTTCCAGATCAGGATCCAACTTGGAGCCCATCACCCCCTCCTCCCCACCCATTCACTACTACAATACCAATAATGACCGGATTAGCCCTCTAAATCTTCCCCGTATTATTATTAGGTGTGTTGTCGTACTCGGTTTCCACTGTGGAGGACATTTCCTCACTTCCTGTCCCTGTGACACCCAGTCCAGCTTTCCAGATCAGGATGCAGCTTCCACTCTCTCTCCTACATTGATATAATGAAACATGGAGTCTGGCTGCTTGGCGTGGACTCTGCCGCTCTCTCTCTTGCTGTCTGTATGAATGATTTGCGGTGTGTATGTGACGTCTGCACCCGAGATGCTGAACACTTAAAAGTATAGACCCTGAACAATGTTCCCCCCACTGACCTGAATCTACGGGTGCTTCCTTCTCCATGCCGGGTCACAGCCACGTCATCCATTCACAGGGATGGATGGATGGAAAGACTACAAATCCATCTGCCACAAGGTGCAGGAATTTGCAGGTCATGCTGGTACAGGTGACATCACTGCACTTGTTTCTAGTGTGTCCTTCCTCCAGCCCCATAATGGCCGCTCCGTATGGACCTGGGTCTGGGGTCTGAGGTCTGTGCGTGGCTCCCTGATTTTGGTTGCAATGCTCTGCAAGATTCAATTAAATGTAATAACTGCACATTTTTTAAAATCCTATTAACATGGAGTGGAACTGCTGTTGTATTCTAGCGGTGCAGAGTTTTTCCCATTCGCATTCACCGACTCATTGCATGGAAGTTGTACCCAAGTAGTGTCTACAGGTAGTGAGGATGTGCCTGCAATTATAACACGTGGGATCCGTGTGTCGGCTTGTAGACGGTCATGTAGTACATGTTACATAGAGAAGAAAGGGGGCTTTGTGTCTGCAGCTCACCCATCTAATAACATTTTCTGTTTTGTGCTTATAGGTCTCTGCTTGTGGTGCATTTCTGGGCACCATGGGCTCCACAGTGCCTCCAGATGAATGAAGTTATGGCTGAACTGGCCAAGGTCCACCCTGAGGTCACATTCGTCAAGGTATGAAAGAACTCCTGGCTATGAACTGGATACATTACCCCAACACTAGTAAGTCCAGGCGGTCAGCGCTTCTTTTAGGTCAGGTTTAGGGATGCTCCGGCCCTCCAGCTGTGGTGCAACTACAAATCCTATGAGGCATTGCAAGACTCTGACAGTCACAGGCATGACCCCCATAGGCAAACAGGATTTGTAGTTTCACCACAGCTGGAGGGCCGGAGTTTGTCTACCCCTGTTTTAGGCCCTCTTTATTTTCCAGGAGGTAAAACCACACACAGGCAACTGCTTCAACCGCTAGGAAGGATCCAGTATGGCAAGATTGCCATTACCGTCTGGATTTACTAATTCATCTACCCCTTGTACAAGTTCCTGCGTTCACTTAGGATTACACGTGCCATGATACTTGCGGTGAGATGTCTGAACTTTCTCTAACATTGTATGTCATTTATTTCCATCTAAGACACTGTATTGTAGTCATTCCCAATATATATAAATATGGTTTAGTTTTACTGAGGACGCTTTTGGAGGAATTATTGTAATACCGGATGGTAGTATTTGTTATATGTGACTTTCAAAGTTTATATCCTTGCTGTATCACTTTTTCATGATTGTGTAGTCTGCTGAGGTTGCACAGGAAGCCTCGGAGTATTGTTTTCTGTCAATTTGACGAACCTGAGAAATAGTATGAGGGAAGCGGAGAAACTGTAATCAGAATTAGTGATCAGGAAGCGGAAAATCAGTGATCACGAAGCGGAGAAACAGAGATCTGGAAGCGAAGAATTAGTGATCAGGAAGCGGAGAATTAGTGATCAGGAATCGGAGAACTAGTGATCAGGAATCGGAGAACTAGTGATCAGGAATCGGAGAAACAGAGATCTGGAAGCGGAGAAACAGAGATCTGGAAGCGGAGAAACAGAGATCTGGAAGCGGAGAAACAGAGATCTGGAAGCGGAGAAACAGAGATCTGGAAGCGGAGAATTAGTGATCAGGAAGCGGAGAAACGGAGATCTGGAAGCGGAGAATTAGTGATCAGGAATCGGAGAACTAGTAATCTGGAAGCGGAGAATTAGTGATCAGGAAGCGGAGAAACAGAGATCTGGAAGTGGAGAACTAGTGATCAGGAAGTGGAGAATTAGTGATCTGGAAGCGGAGAATTAGTGATCTGGAAGCGGAGAATTAGTGATCAGGAAGCTGAGAATTAGTGATCAGGAAGCTGAGAATTAGTGATCAGGAATCGGAGAACTAGTGATCAGGAAGCGGAGAAACAGAGATCTGGAAGCGGAGAATTAGTGATCAGGAAGCTGAGAATTAGTGATCAGGAATCGGAGAACTAGTGATCAGGAATCGGAGAACTAGTGATCAGGAATCGGAGAACTAGTGATCAGGAATCGGAGAACTAGTGATCAGGAATCGGAGAACTAGTGATCAGGAATCGGAGAACTAGTGATCAGGAATCGGAGAACTAGTGATCAGGAATCGGAGAACTAGTGATCAGGAATCGGAGAACTAGTGATCAGGAATCGGAGAACTAGTGATCAGGAATCGGAGAACTAGTGATCAGGAATCGGAGAACTAGTGATCAGGAATCGGAGAACTAGTGATCAGGAATCGGAGAACTAGTGATCAGGAATCGGAGAACTAGTGATCAGGAATCGGAGAACTAGTGATCAGGAATCGGAGAACTAGTGATCAGGAATCGGAGAACTAGTGATCAGGAATCGGAGAACTAGTGATCAGGAATCGGAGAACTAGTGATCAGGAATCGGAGAACTAGTGATCAGGAATCGGAGAACTAGTGATCAGGAATCGGAGAACTAGTGATCAGGAATCGGAGAACTAGTGATCAGGAATCGGAGAACTAGTGATCAGGAATCGGAGAACTAGTGATCAGGAATCGGAGAACTAGTGATCAGGAATCGGAGAACTAGTGATCAGGAATCGGAGAACTAGTGATCAGGAATCGGAGAACTAGTGATCAGGAATCGGAGAACTAGTGATCAGGAATCGGAGAACTAGTGATCAGGAATCGGAGAACTAGTGATCAGGAATCGGAGAACTAGTGATCAGGAATCGGAGAACTAGTGATCAGGAATCGGAGAACTAGTGATCAGGAATCGGAGAACTAGTGATCAGGAATCGGAGAACTAGTGATCAGGAATCGGAGAACTAGTGATCAGGAATCGGAGAACTAGTGATCAGGAATCGGAGAACTAGTGATCAGGAAGCGGAGAAACAGAGATCTGGAAGCGGAGAAACAGATCTGGAAGCGGAGAATTAGTGATAAGGAAGCGGAGAAACAGAGATCTGGAAGTGGAGAACTAGTGATCAGGAAGTGGAGAAACAGAGATCTGGAAGCGGAGAATTAGTGATCAGGAAGCGGAGAAACAGAGATCTGGAAGTGGAGAACTAGTGATCAGGAAGTGGAGAAACAGAGATCTGGAAGCGGAGAATTAGGGATAAGGAAGCGGAGAAACAGAGATCTGGAAGTGGAGAACTAGTGATCAGGAAGTGGAGAAACAGAGATCTGGAAGCGGAGAAAGGGTGATCAGTAGCGATGCACCGATGCCGCTATTTCGGTATTGAGTACGAGTACCAATATTTATTTTCCGGTACTCGCCGATACCGAATACTGATACTGGAAGTCGCATTCAGGAAGCCAGGCAGCGTGAAAAGACTCGCCACCCGGCTTCCCGATTAGCAGGGAAGCTGTCCCCATGCTTCTCATCACTAGGTGACAAGAAAGCATGGAGCTGGCTTTCTGGCCAGTCAAGAAGCCGGGCGCCGTGTAATGACGCGGCTTCCTGATTGGCCGGGAAGCCTTGCTCCATGCTCCCTCGTCATTGCACACTGCCCGGCTTCCTGATACCGGAAGTATCGAGCTAGGCATCGGAGTATTTGGGCGAGTATGAGTACTCGCCCAAATACTCGGTATCAGCACTGATACTAGTATCGATATCGGTGCATCCCTGGTGATCAGAAAGCGGAGAAGGGGTGATCAGGAAGCGGAGATCAGGAAGCCGAGAGTCAATGACCAAGAATCGGAGAAGTAGAGTTTAGGAAGCTGAGAATTAGTGATCAGGAAGCGGAGAAATAGAGATCAGTAAGTAGAGAATTTGATTGGGTCTCCTCTTATACAGCCGGCTGGTGAAGGTCTGTCTTTATACCACATTGTGAGAGTCTTACTTTTTAATAGACGTAAATAATACATTTAATGTTAACATTCAGCATATTCAGTACCGCAGTGTCTCTTCTGGAGTTGGCAGAATGCATATAGTTCTGTCTGTGAAGAGAATCTGTCACTTTGACAGGGCAAAAATAAAACGGATAAATAACATGCTTAAATTATTCACAAAGAACTCCGGGCAAATCATATCTTGACCCTTGCAATGGGGCTACACCCGCACTTCAAGGTTTAAGTGCTCATTTTGTTTATGGGGCTAAAATAACAAAGTTATACTCACCCGAACCGCGATCCTTGCTTGCTGTTAGACCGCTCCCTTCAGCCTTGCTTCCCTTTTTTTTACATGAATTGCTATAATTCTTTTGCTATCACGTAGCGGGATACCAAACCCCCCCATGTGATAGCACAAAGTAAGTGACAGATCTTCTTTATTGAGAGATCAGGGGTCTATTAGATCCCTAATGTCACTATTGACATCATTGGGCTTTGCTTCACCAGCTTCATCTATAGCATTTGGAGAAAGGTGAGCCTGAAACTGTAAGTGGCGAATTCATCAGCAATCTCTCTACCATCCATCCACACACACACACCTGCTGTGCCAGTCCTGGGCCTGCATGAGGGACAGCAGAGTCTATGATAGCCAGCAGCAGCAGAGGCGGGTACACTATTTGATAGCATACATGATTGGGTGGCTGTACATCCGCCTAAACACTTGTATATTAATATCGACTGAAAAGAATAGCACCATGATCACAGCTGCAGCACCAGCCATCATCTTTGTATAACCACTTCAGGACCGTGTCATTTATTCTTCTGGCAGAAGGACATTCAAACGATGGCCGCCAAGTACCATCAGATGGCAGGGATGCTTCCCTATGTGCACCCTGTGCTGGGTAATGTGATGAGTGGTGACACATGACCAGGTGGTGTGGGTGCGTAGGGACCTACTCCTGCACTGTGCTTGGCAGCTCTGCAGTGGATGATGTTCTGCCAGCACCTCTTCTCTTTGTTTGGTGACCCCCGTAGAGTGTAGAATATTGCACCCTGCACCAAAGCTGCTCCAGCCAAAATTTATGTCAAAACACGAAGGAAAACCATTTAACAAGATGCCGAGAAGATACCAAATTGTTATTTATTTCAGATATTTATGTGAGTAAATCATGAATTGGATAATAACATTGTCAACATGTTTGGCATATGGCATATTGTGACGCGTGATCCCTTCTGAGTCTGGTTGAAATATTGATTAGTCATGTTTTGATTTGCTTTTGGCTGCAGCAGCTGTGATGTGGAAGATCAATCTTCTCTGTAAACCTCAATGTACCCCGTTGCTGGCATTGCTTTCTTATCTTTGTCATATTTGGATGTTATATGGGTGGGGATGGTGACGAGGTGTCCTGGGAGGAAACCAAATACTCAACCCTTTGTACAGCACCCCCAGTTTGGGAGCACTCAGCATCAACAATAAAAAAAACGCAGTTCCGTTGTGGAATGTGGGTGGAAATGTATAGGTATCACAAAGCCATGAGAAACGAAATATTTGTGCTACCATCGGTAGCCTCCAGAAAATGCTAATTCCTGGCTTTCTATAGCGTTGGTAATTCTGAGTCACCAACCTGGAACAAGTGGAAATCCCTGCGTCGTTATGTCAGTTCTGAGTCCTGTTGTGAGGAACATCTGGGGGTTGGAACCACAGCACATGGCAGGCGACAGACTCTTTAGGGTTTATTTACACCAAATATTTTGGGGCTGCATTGGCTGTTTTTTTTTATTGTGCAGCCCCACACACAAGACAAGGTAATTTGCCTGGTCATGGATGGGCACCATTCATAGCACCGCGTTGCATGCAAAACTGTGAATACACAACCACCTCGTACTTAGTTGTGCTCGTAGAACTTAATGAAATGTCACTTGTTCTTAAAAAAAAAAAAAAAAGGTACACAGTGCGGTGTGTCAGGATAGGAGCTTAAGCAGCGTGCTGGGAACTACACACCATCCACTGTGTGATGTAGCTCAGTGGCTGGTGTGAATGGGCTCTTTATATTTGCACAGACTCCCTTTCCTCCTTTATGAAGCCCATTACAATGACAAAACTCACAGGAGTGAAAACCTGTCCAAATCTGCTCCTGTGTCCAGACTATGTACATTAGAGTATGTGCATATTCTTTAACAAGCCCTCACTAACCTCTGTAGTGGCAGCCACTATGGAGAGATCCATCCTCAAATGCTTATGTCAGAGGCACTGAAATCGCAGTTCCTCCCCCTTATTTTTTCTGATGGCAACCTTCCAACCTTCCGCAGGTTCTGCAAGCTGTTAGAAACAGACTCAAACTGGCTTCAGAGTTTCTATTGTGATTTTTCAGAATGAATTATTCACTAGCACATGCAGCTATAGAAGTCAGTGAGTGCTTGTTACTGTTAATACGTTTTTTTTTTTTTTGTCCATAGCTTATGCACATGTATCAACAATGTATCTCTTGTTATAGTCTGCAACCGCCCGCCCCCACATTTTCTTGAACCTGTGCTTTGCCAAAGTAGGGAAAACCGACAGATTTGCAATAACTCCAATCCCCAGTTTGGCTCAACTTAACCTTCACCTTCGCCAAAAGAAATTCCTGGTCCCTCCGCGTATGGAGGTGTATGTGACTCACTCTATGTGGCTGTGCTGGTCCACTTGACGCTGTCACTGTTGGTGATTTGTTGTATTACACGCTCAAATTTTGTTTTCAATACTGAATCCAGATCAACCAAATATACATTGCCCGGCAAAATGTTTCCAAACAGCTCCAACTCTCTCAGCTGAGCTTCCCTTAACTTCCTGTCAGTACACTATCACCAGGGAGAGCACAGTCTCCAGCAGCTGTACATCTAGTTTGGAGAAGGGAAGAAGGAGCAACAGGGGAATGGGTGAGGGGTGGTTTGCCTTGCTGTGTGTGTTTTTGGAGACATATACAGCTTACTAGCACACACAAGGGTGGCTCCATAGAACCATTCACAGGTAAGGAGCCACCCTAAAACAGGATATCAGGGCCAGTGCTCAGAAGACCAGCTGATTCCGAAAGAAACTAAAAAGCTATGGCTTAGGAAGTTATTTGGACGTGCTATTAAAGGAGAAGTATTGGGAGAGTAAAATATATTCTGCCCAATAGTTTGAGCCGACGTGGGGCATTGCAGCTGCCACACGTCTGCTCTATAGCTCGACAATTAAGTGATCGCATGCTGCTGATCGCTCAGCTCACGATCTTCTTCTCCCTGCAGAGAGCGGTGACGGTCAGTCACCACTCCCCACAGGGATTCCCCCCTCCCCTCTCTGATCCTCCAGTGCTGACTGTTGGGACGGACGGAAGGGGGCGGGCACAGCTGGCTCTAGAGAGACAGAACTTGCTGTCAATCAGGCAGTGGGGTGGATCCTGAAAAAATTGCTGAGTACAGTGTGGCTCTGCGCTGTCAGCATATAGGGGGCAGTAAGCTGCTATATGGTGACTTTGGGTCACAGGAGGACATTAGTAAATGTCCTCCTGTGACCTACAAGAGAACTTTTGGCTGTAGTTCTTCAATTATAAGCCTTGATGCAGATCCATTATGAATTCTGGCTTTTTACAAATGTATTTTGCACAGGTGAGTATCACCAGGTGGGTATAGGGGGGTAATGAGCTTTCAAAACCTTCTTTGAACCCCCTATTGACACTTGCGCAGAGCTTCAAGCTTTGTGTGTGTTTTTTTTTTAAAAAACCATTTGTGTGTTGCGTGCTTTGCTTGGCTCATTTGGGGTACCATTATCAATGAATGGCACTGCAAGCGTGCAACACGTCTAATGAATGTGCACAATATTGGGGGGGATTCTCAGCACATTGTGCAAGTGTGAATGGGGGCTTTTTTCCTCTAACTTTATTTATATCACACAGGGTCTAAAAATCCCCTATGTGATGACGTTTAGAGGTTACAGGTTCTCTTTATGGAGACCTCTGGTATCTATTAGACCCCAGATGTCTCCATAATTAGACTAGATGTCCCCCTGTTAGCCCTCATTCACACGAGAAAAGGCCGGCACGTACAGCTCCGTGCTGCGTGCACAGCCATATCGGCAGCTCCCGGGAAGGACAGGTGCTGCGTGTGATTAGTACGCAGCCCCTGTCCTCCTCTATGGGAGTACGCGGCCGTACGCCGCCCTATACTCCCCCCGCCCTGTACGTCCGTGCGGGTATCTGTACTCGTACGCTGACAGGATGGATCCTGTCTGCATCAGAGCCGGGACACCCGCACAGACCTGCACTGGGGGGTGAGCGTAAGGCGGCGTACGGCCGCGTACTCCCGTAGAGAAGGACAGGGGCTGCGTACTAATCACACGCAGCACCTGTCCTTCCCGGGAGCTGACCGAAACGGCCGTGCACGCAGCACGGAGCTGTACATGCCGGCCTTTTTTCGTGTGAATGAGGCCTACATGTTCAAATCATCGGTAGAATGTGTATGCTGCAATTACACTACAAGCTGCAGATGTTGCGTCGCTGGACTCTGCGGTGCTAATTAGTGCGGGAACACACAGAGCCTCATTAGAAAGTCACTTTTTTCAATAGCGCTTCCTCCGCCAATGAATAAACGTCAGCCACTCGACAATAAAATATCCTCCTCTGATTTTGTCTCCTTCTCCTCCTCATTTCTCGTGTATATTGACCGTCGGTCTAATCTTCAATCGCACTCTGCCATTCGTCTTTAAAAATGACCCAGCTTTATCGCTCACTGCTCTAACAAGAGCTTAGCTCGTTTCAGCCTTGATGTACTGCCTCTCAAAATTAGTCAATAGAGCAAACAGCTAGAATTGCTTTGGGCAGAAAATAAGCAGTGTAATCATGACATAACTGGGGTCAGTGATTTATGGATTTCAATATAGTAGTAGCTGCATATGATTGAAAATTTACTAGGTCACTAGTGCACCAAAAAAAAAAAAAGATTTTTTTTTTTATTTGCCGCCCGGGGGCATTGCCGGCAATGTGCAACAAAATAAGAACCCTTGATCCTGTTTTGTCATAGTGCAAGCTCAGTGGATGACAGGGCAGGCTGGCGAGCCTCATTTAAATGCAAATGCCTCACAAACTTTTGCATCCGACTCCCTTTTTTTTTTTTAAGTATCCTGACTATCCCTGCGAGGCTTTTCTAAACACGTGCCATAAAAAGAGACATGAAAATAAAATTGCTGCAACGGGTTTTTTTTTTTCATCCTTGTTTTTTATTATTATTATTTGAAGCTTGAAGCAGAAGCCATTCCTGAGGTGTCGGAGAAGTACGAGATAACCTCCGTGCCAACCTTCTTGTTTTTCAAGGTAAGACGGAATAATTTGTATTTGGATCTCCTTGAGCGAGACAGCAATGCATGTATATTTAATATTGTGTAAGGTAGATGGAGTGTTTGTTATATTTTATATATTTTTACAAATAGATGGAGAACAGTGATTTATTCTCGTCACCCAGTCTGATGCCTCTACTGCCATCATATAGGGGCAGGTGTAGTAGGATCAGTTTTGAGCAGAAGTCGGGTTAAAGGGGAACTCCACTAAGAAAAAAAATTAACGTAAAGTAAAATCTGGGAAGGCATCCACAAGGTTTTGGAGTGTGTCTATGGGAATGTTGGACCATTTGTGAGGTCAGGTACTGATGTTGCAGGAGAAGGCCGGGCTCACAGTCTCCGCTCTAATTCATCCCAAAGGTGTTCTATCAGGTTGAGGTCAGGACTCTGTGCAGGCCAGTTAAGTTCCTCCACCCCAAACAAACAACAAAGTTGGGAGCATGAAATTGTCCAAAATGTCTTGGTATGCTGATGCCTTAAGTGTTCCCTTCACTGGAACTAAGGGGCCAAGCCCAACCCCTGAAAAACAACCCCCACACCATAATCCCTCCCCCACCAAATGGTACACTTGGCACAATGCAGTCAGGCAAGTACTGTTCTCCTGGAAACCGCCAAACCCAGACACGTCCATCGGATTGCCAGACAGAGAAGCGCGATTCGTCACTCCAGAGATCACGTCTTCACTTCTCTAGAGTCCACTGGCGGCGTGCTTTACACCACGGCATCCCACGCTTTGCATTGCACTTGGTGATGTAAGGCTTGGATGCAGCTGCTCGGCCATGGAAACCCATTCTATGAAGCTCTCTACGCACTGTTGTTGTGTCAATCTGAAGGACACACGAAGTTTGGAGGTCTGTAGCTATTGACTCTGCAGACAGTTGGCGACTTCTGCTCACTGTGCGCTTCAGCATGCGCTGACCCTGCTCTGTCATTTTACGTGGCCTACCACTTCGTGGCTGAGTTGCTGTTCCCAGTTGCTTCCACTTTGTTATAATACCGCTAACGGGAGACTGTGGAATATTTAGTAGCAAGGAAATGTCACGGATGGACTTATTGCACAGGTGGCAACCTATAACGGTACCACGCTGAATTCACTGAGCTCCTGAGAGGGAAGCCGCCTCCATGCTCCCTCGTCACCAGATAACGAGAAAGCATGGAGCTGGCTTTCTGGCCAATCAGGAAGCCGGGCCCAAATACTCTGCACCAATACTGATACTAGTATCGGTATCAGTGCATCCCTAGTTATTATAATATACCCATTACGTATGGCATATACTACATGACGAAATTCATACCTTTCGTAATATTTGATTACTTAATTTCTCCATATAATCAGACCTGAAGCACCAGATTCCACCATCTATATACACAGTTTGCACTATTGCTGGGTCGCTATTAATATGGAGAAATGTAGTTTTGCAGATGCAGAATTGTTATTATAATATGCCCATAACATTTCTTCTATAATCAGACATGATTCTAAAAAAAAATAATCCTGTTTTGTCTTTGTAATTAATACGATATTGTCATGTTTTCCATCTACCCTGTTTCCCCAAAAATAAGACCTAGTACTATTTTTGGGAATTGCTAAAATATAAGACTTACCCCAAAAATAAGACCTAATTGTGACCTTTCCCAGGGCCGGTGGTGGCATAAGGGGGAACTTGTAGAGCCGCGGGAGAGAATCTGCGGTGCCATCAAAGCCAGCGCTAAAGGAAGCAAGGCGGCACCTGAGGGAGCAGAGCCGCATAATCCGATGCTTCCTCTATAGCGCCGGCTCCTGTCACAGGCGTAGTGATACCAAATGCACTCCGCCTGTGAGGAATGGATAGTGAAAGTGCACTTCACTCATTCTGGCCAGCGATTGGTTAGCAAATTGCTCTTGGAAAGGTACGGCACCCCTGATTGCCCTGATCACCATATTTTTGTACATGAATCAGGGTGGATTGTTGTACATAAAAAAAAAAAAATAAGACCTACCCCGAAAATAAGACCTAGTGTGTTTTTTTTGAGCCAAAAAAAAATATAAGACAGTGTCTTATATTCGGGGGAAACCCGGGTAGCTGTGTATTTTATACAGTGGTACCTCGGTTCACGAACTTAATTGGTCGCAAACTCAATCAAACTGTGATCAGACCGCGATCTCCACTAGAGGAAGCCACGACCATGTGTCAGAGCGGGGAAGATGGCTGGGGTTCTCTTCCTCACCCGATGCGGAGTTCGCGAACGGAAGCAAAATTTTGCCAAACTTCCTGTTCGCGAACCGAATTATTCGGGAACAGAAGCGTTCGTGAACCGAGGTACCATTGTATATCCCTATTTTATTATTCTTTTTAATAAAAATACAGATTTAACCAAAAAAAAAAGTAAATGACAGAAGTTATTATAAAGTATGAATAAAACAAAAGTATTTTCCATTAATTGTTTTTTTGCTTTACGGAAATGTTTCCGACTTTTACTTGTTCAGGGCAGAATCTGCCATAATGTTCCAGCTTGTACGGCCTGCGTATGATGGGCCTATACCCCCCTCTATTGGTGATTTTTGACTATTACCTTTTCTCCCTTTTGAGTTTTCTTCACCTTCCTGCTTAAATCTGCTGCAGTTTCACAATTATTATTCTTTAGTTTTTTGGTTTTTATTTGCACCTGTTTATAAATGATTCATGAATAGTAATGAGTGTGATCAGTCTATGCGTGAATATCAGTACACTTAACAGGTTTGGGGTATCAGCAGTTGTCTGCTGTGATGCAATTTAAATCACTTCTATTTATTTATTTATTACAGGTATTTGTATAGCGCAGACAATTTACGCAGCGCTTTACACAGTGCACATGATTCAAAATCCAAAATGTCCCATCGCACTCCTGACCGGAAAAAAAGTTCCCCAAGCACAGGGCGGTGTGGCAGTGGCAGTGACAGCAGACGCCTCCATAGATAATGGTAAACCAGAAAAGTCACTCGCACTCCAATGTAGCTTCCAGTCAATCTATCTATTGACTAAATGGTGCAGCATTTCCATGCAACGTTTCTGAACCAAAGAGGTCCCTTCCTCAGGCAAATAGAACTTGCCTGAGGAAGGGACCTCTTTGGTTCCGAAACGTTGCATGGAAATGCTGCACCATTTAGTCAAAAAATAGATTGACTGGAAGCTACATTGGAGTGCGAATTACTTTTTTGGTTTATTACATAGTGCATATTCACATCAGTCGCTGCCCTCAGGGAGCTTACAATCTAAGGTCCCTATCACACATACATACCTACATACGAGATGCCCCCAGACTGATCTTATATAGATGTATAATTGTTCTCTTCGAGAAATGAAAAGGCTTCTAAGACATCCACCATGTTGATGTTAGTGGCGATCGGTTATTTGATAATAGGTCACGACATCAGTTGCATTCTAAAGTAACCTGTCTTGCCAGTTCGGGTTTGTAAAGTAGCTGAAAGGGTAAAAAAAAACACAACAAGGTGCGGTCATTTGATATTTGGGTGTAAAGAGCCCTGCCCTGCTTGCACAATGCTGATTTTTTTTCATTTCTGCATTGGAGAAAATGCCAAACTGATAACACAGCCTAGTCAAATAATTACTGGGCAATACTTTTATTAACCCCTGCAGTGGAGCTACCCGTGCACTGCTCATTTTGTTCTAGGAAGGAAAATGATAAAGTTATACTCGCCCGATCCTTTCGAGGCAGCCAGCTGTGACCTCCTGTCAGTCTCTCCTCCGCTCTGATGGTATGTCCCTCAGCATCCTCACGTCCTTAAACTGTGTATAGAATGTGATGGCTCAGGGACTTTAGACCGCTACAGCGCAGGGGGGGGGGGGGGGGGTGGGGAGAGGGCAGGCGGAA